TCCCTTTTTACCCTACTGGAGAAGTTTTTGGATGTGCATAGGGATTTGAGTCTTAGAAGGTCCCATTCATCTATGTTATCTTCTCCTGGTTGTAGCTTAGGTTGTCCTTTTTAGGATCATAGTCAAACTGTGCTCTCATAAACATCTGTAGTGCAGGAAGCCGGTTTTGCTGGTTCGGAATTACTTTTAATGAAATCATTCCTTTGATTTCTTTCATTGCTTTCTGGAGCTGATCAACTGAGTGATTCGTCACATTGGTACCATTGATTTCTAGGATCTCATCCCCCACGTGAAGTGAGCCTTGTCTATGAATCATGCCTCCATGAAGAATTCTGGCCACTGTACAGGACTGTTTTTCATTCAACTTCAGAGTGATTCCCATAGGCTCCTCTGTGACCTTCTCAAACTGTATGAGGCGGACTCTCCGCACCTCCTGCCCTTTGGCTGGGCTCCCTGGAGCAGCAGATCCGTTGGTGTACATGTCCTCAGTCCCAGCATCCAAATGTGGGGCCACAGCCTCTGGCCGGCTGCGCTTCTGCAGCAAATGCTCCAGGTAGAGGTCCGAGAGCGCCGTGCGCATGCCACCTCCGCCCTCGCCTTCGCTCGCCTTCAGCGTCATCTCGCAGGGGCCGGGACGCGGGGACAGCAGGCGGACAGCGCGCGAGCGTGGGTGCCGCGGGCCTACGGGCGCCGGAGACTGTGGAGGCGCGAAGACTCAGATACCATTTTAGCATACAGTATGCTTTTCTCTGAGCTTTCAAATCATCAAAACAGCTATAGCAATGTGAGACTCACTCAAAAACATACCAATCCCATTCACAGGAAGTTTCATTAGCTTCTTAACAGATTTTAGAATTTGACTAGTCCTATATGTATGCTTTACAAGGGGTCATGGTACTAGGGAATTGTAGCTAATGTTAGATAGCTCGTGACTGAAATCAGGGAGTACCAGAGGAGTGTCTGTGTTTCATTGATTATGCAAAGGCATTTGATTGTGTGGACCACAACAAACTGTGGCTGACTCTGAGAAGAATGGGAATCCCAGAACACTTGATGGTGCTTATGCGAAACCTATACTTGGACCAGGTGGCAGTTGTCAGAACTGAGCAAGGGAACACTGCATCGTTCAAAATTGGGAAGGGTGTACACCAGGGATGTCCTATCTCCATACCTTTTCAATCTAGGTGCAGAACATATTATCCAGGAGACTAGGTTCTATGAGGATAAATGTAGCATCAGGGTTGGAGGAAGACTCATCAACAATTTGTGTTATGCAGATGGCACAATCCTGCTTGCTGAAACTAAGGAGGACCTGAAGTGTTTGCTGCAGAAAGTCAAGGACTGCAGCCTTTAATATAGACTGAAGCTCAATATCAAAAAGACAAAGATTCTCACCACTGGGCCAATTGGCAGCATCGTGAATGATGGTGAAGAGATTGAGATTGTAAACAGCTTTAGTTTGCTTGGCTCCACAATCACGATTCTTGGTACCAGCAGCCAGGAAATTACAAGACGTATTGCGTTGGGAAAGTCTGCTGTCAGAGATGTCTCCAAAGTACTGAAGAGCAACAATGTCAGTCTGGAGACTAGGGTGTACCTGATACAGGCCATGGTCTTTGCAATTAATTGTTATGCATCAGAGAGCTGGACAATGATTAGGAATGATAGAAGGAGAATTGATGCCTTTGAGCTGTGGTGTTGAAGAGTATTGAATATACCATAGACTGCTAAGAGAACGAACAGGTTTATCCTACAGAGGGTGAAAACAGGTTGCTCCTTGAAGGCAAGGATTCTGAAGCTTCATCTGACGTACTTTGGACATGTTGCAAGGATGGACCAGTCCTTGGAGAGGGATGTAATGATTGGGAGGTTGGAACAACAGCACAAGAGAGGAAGACCCTTGGCGAGGGTAAGTTTTTCAGAGGCAGTGAGACTGGCACAGGACAGAGCAGGGTTTAGGGCTGTTGTGCATCAATGCACAGTGTTTAGCATCACAGCAACCACGAGTTACCTCTCTAACTCTGTTTTTTTTTCTCATTGCAATGTTTCTCATTGCACTCTGTGCAATGCACAGACCAGTGCTATACCACCTAGAAGAATGTTTGACAAAAAAACAATTTAAACCAGGACAGAGGGCTGTAGATTAAAATCACCCACCTTGCGCTTAGTAGCATAACTTTCTGTATGAGGCTCGAATCCACCAAATGTTGTGCGGGAGAAGGAGGGGCAATCTCCTCTTATGCCAGTCAGATCTGACTCAATGGTACACAACAAGAAAAAACATTAAGAAGGGTGGGTGTCAGAATTGTATTCTCTCTCCATACCTGTTTAATCTGTTGTTGTTGTTGTTGTTATGTGTCATCGAGTCACTTGTGACTCATAGCGACCCTATGTACAAGGGCTCTAAAGACCAACCTCGCCATCTCAAATGCACTCATTCCCATCACTCCACTCACAGAATAGATCCATCCCATTGAAGGTCTTCCTTTGCCGCTTCTCCACTCTACCAAAACATGATGTCCCTTTCCAACGACCTCCTTGCAACATGCCCAAAGTATATCAGATGAAGCTTCAGAATCCTTGACTCCAAGGAGCATTCTGGCTTCACCTTCTCCAGGACAAACCTGTTTGTTCTCCTTGCAGTCCATGGTATATTCAACACTCTTCTCTAGCACCAAAACTCAAAGGCATCAATTATCCTTCCATCATCCCTATTCACTGTCCAACTCTGATGCATAGCACGTAATTGCAAAGACCATAGCCCGGATCAGGCGCACCTTAGTCTCCAACCTGATGTTGTTGCTCTTCAATACTCTTGAGAAATCCCTCACAGCTGACTTTCCCAATGCAATTCGTCTCTTGATTTCCTCGCTGCTGTTACCAAGAGTGTTGACTGTGGAACCAAGTAAACTAAAACTGTTAACTATTTCAATCTCTTCACCATCCATACTGATGCTGCGAATTGGCCCAGTGGTGAAAAATCTTTGTTTTCTTAATGTTGAGCTTCAATCCATACTGGAGGCTGCAGCCCTTGACCCTCTGCAGCAAGCGCTTGAGGTCCTCCTCAGTTTCAGCAAGCAGGGCTGTGTCATCTGCATAATGTAGGTTGTTGATGACTCTTCCACCAATCCTGATGCCACATTCCTCTTCATACAGCCCAGAGTCTCGTATGATCTGTTCTACATGCCTGACGGACTCCCTTCTTGATTTTGAAACATGTAGTGTCTCCTTGCTTTGTTCTGATGACTGCCTCTTGGTCCAAGTATAGGTTTCGCATTAGCACAATCAAATGTTCTGGGATTCCCATTCTTCTCAGAGTCAGCCACAGCTTGTTGTGAT